GGGGGGGGGGGGGGTGTACCAATCTTTATAGAAGTAACACGAAGACCACAAGCTTGAAGGAGAAGGCCAATGCTACTGGCAGTGACACCTTTCCCAAGTCCACTCACCACTCCTCCTGTCACTAAAACGTACTTCATAGTGGCTCTCTCTCTCTCTCTCTCTCTGCTTCACCCCAGGTACGGGTACGGATCTCTCCTAGGGATGAAATCAAAGGAAAAAGGTACAAACTTTGTTTGCCTTTGGTATCAAAAAAGGGAAAAGAAATGAGCCCAGTAACGACTAGGACAGAAGAAGAGGAGAAGTCGAGAAGAGATGCGAGATTATTTGCTCTAACAACGCCAATGGCTTCTCCTTTTCCTCCTCTGGTTTGGTTTCCGCGAGGCGGCGGCCTGTTCCCTTGCCTCCTTTTTAAGTCTACCCTTCCTTTCTTCCTTTTAAAACCTTTTTCTTTTATTTAATTCTATTTTTCCCCCTCAAAATTATCCATATAACTTTTCGAGTCCTTTAATCATCTCACATAACATATTTATACTTCGAATGTGTAGAAATGAAAAATCAGGATGATACATTTTTTATCAATTAATATGTTAAAAGAATTTGTAAATTGTTTTTTTATCTTAAAAGAATGCTAATCTGTTTGGTATAAACCTGGTACACGGAATTTTACATAGACCCAGAGTTCATTAAAAAAAGTTGTTCTAACATTTTAAAAATTAGTTTTTATGACATAAAGTTAGGGTTTCGAGTTCACTCGCACCAACAAGGAGCAATGAAAATCGGATAGATACAAAGAGGATCTTTGGAAGTATACTGAGAGGATCGGACCCCACAATTTCACCCCAAAAAAAAAATGAAAAACGAAAAGGTCTTCGGCTTTTGAGGCTTTCGTTCACCACTCACCACCACATTTGCTTATTGCTTCCGTATATTTTGCTCGTGGACGGTTGGACCAAAAAAAGACAGGAAGATTGTAAAGAAACACACCACAAACATTTAAACGGGCAAATCATATAGGTTGTTAAATGCTTTTTCCTTTTCCATAAATTTTAACAGTTTTGGGGTTTAGGCTTTATCAATCAAGATGTGTAATTAGAGTGGCCGAACAGCTCGATTACGGTTAATTTCGATTCAATTATATCGGGCTAAGAAAATTCATAATCAAACGGTTATTTGATTTTCATTGATTCGATTCGGTTTGATTTTGTTCCGTTACAGTTAGCTTTGGTCTGGTTATATCTAATTAAAATTGTAATTAAATAATAACCGAATAAAAATCCCGTTCATTTCGTTTATAAATAGTAAATGGAACAAATTTTGGAACATTTAAAAAAATGTTAAAGATACCACTTTAGTTACACATCGTTGTCATAAAATAATATCATTATCCTAATTTTTCTAATTAGATATACCATATATTATATATTAACCCGATGTACATGAGTGAACAAACGGTAATATTTGATTTATTCGGTTACAGATGGTTTGGGTTTGGTTTATTCGGTCAACGATTAATTAAGATTTGGTTATTTCGGGTTTCGATAATTAATAACCAAACAATTATTTAATTTTAATGAGTTCCGTTCGGTTCGATTCTCAAATGTCATTACGATTGTAGAAACTGAAAACGAGTAGTAAAGACATATTCATGGACTTTGAAATAATAATTGTTAGCTTTAGTGGCTGAATTTTACAATGTGATATGCCTAAGTTTAGTTGTACTTTTACTATATCTAAAACAATATCATTATTACTTGTCGCTTAGATTTTATCAAAACAAAATCTTTCTATTAGATTTGTTATCAATGTCTGCAAAGTAAAATAGATATATCATGTTTTGGATTTCATATTCAGACTTTAATCGAAACTGAACCATTCGATTATAATATAAACAAAATCCTTTAATAAGTGGAATCGAAAAAAAAATAATAATAATTAAGAAAAATCTCGAGAAAGGAAAAACTTGCAAAGAAGAAAAAATTCTAAGGGTACTTTGATCATACTACATAATTAAAAAAAACCGAGATAATTAAAAGGGAACATAATCCATGGTATTTCTCAGATAAAAAAGGTAAAATTTTAACCATGCTTCCGACACAATGCGATTTATAAACGATTCAGATTCCACGTTATTTGTAATGTTACGCGAAAAGTATAAACTGATTTGCCGAGAAGGAGAAAAGCTGGCGTGACATTAACCACCTAAGATTCCCAGACAACAGAAACGCAGTTGAACAGACGCGAGAGCCAAGGAAGACGTTCCCGATTCAACGCGAATTTATATATGTGCCACCAGAAGGGGAAGCAAATGAAACTACAACAGCACCATGTTCACGTACTCTGCACAAAGCTCCAACCTTTGCTCACTGGACATCGGCTTCTGGGCCACCTCCAGATGAAGCTGTCTTTCCCTTGACCTCACCCGGAGGAGGGTGATCAAACCTGCATGTTGCCCCGTACTTACACATCCCTGTCTTCATGTAATAAGGGCAATGAACTGCACCCTGCGCAGTTTTTGTCACGTGGATTAGCATACCACCCTTCTTTTGAAACAAGCACGGTTTCTAGGATGGCTTGTAGTTGTACCTCTCTTCTGGGATACCCTGCAAGAGTGAACTTCACATTCTCTTGTGAAGACTGTTTGCTAGTTGCGGCAGCAGATCTGTCAATCGGGTGATGGAACTTGCATCTTTCTCCAAACTTGCATTCCCCCGTCTTCATGTAGTACTGCAACATCGGAAAAGCTCAGCACACGTTAAACATTGCCATATAATAACCCTCTTGTTGATGAGAAACAACGAATAACCAAAACACAACCGCAGATCAAGAATATTTGGCAAGAGACTCACGTCACATTCCACTTGTCCAGGTCGCTGAGGGTAGACAGTTGGGACCACACCAATCTGCAGCACTCTCAAATTCATTAAACCTCTAAGAACTGATGATGAGCCTGCAACTATTTTCCAAAGCATGAATAGCACCTCCTACCGTGGGTTGAGCCAGAGTCTGATAAAGGGAGGCAGCTGGAGTAACAACCCCGAGGTTAAGATTTGCAGCTGTCGATGCCACTAGAGGATATGTTACTCCAGCAACTGGTGGTATAAATGCTGTACAATAACAATACCTATGAATTAAGATTGCAAAGGACACATTAAAGATTCTAAAACACAGAACTAAATTCTTGACATGATACAGGCTCACAAACCCGTCCTGTCCGGATGATTGTAGCGGCAAGTGTGTCCATACTTGCAACTGACCACATATATAGGAAACAAGTTAGACCACAACTGTCGCTCTCGAGATTATAAAAGGAAATCTTTCTCACCATTTTTTCCTTTTTTTTTTGTCGTTTCGGGTATGAATTATGAAGTCTATAAGATCCAGACGAAAGATATTCACCTTCCTGTTTTGAGATAGAACGGACAGTCGACTTCACCCTGTCAGATGCAAAAGCTAGATGTCATGACAGATCAAGCACACTAGGACAAAAGTTTAAGAAACAAATTTTAATCATACCATGCAATTTGCAATTTTTTACAAAGTGAAGATCAAAATAATTACAGGTCTAACAGGTAGTCCTTTGGAGTTGTGGTACAATGCTGGGTTGAATGTGATGGGTGGCTTGTTGGCGGCATTGGTATCACTGGTCAACCCCTCACTGCTACCATTCTCTTGATCAAAAGATGATATCTGGATATCCTTTGGGTGGTGGAACTTGCAGGTTGGCCCAAATTTACATTTTCCAGTCTTCATGTAGAACTGTTGCAGAGTTAAACCAAATTATTAAAAAAAACTAAGAGAGAGAAGTGAAGATATATATCAATGGAAAGACAGACACATATATGGATATCTTACAGCGCATGGGGGCTCGGAGGGCCTATCAGGCAATGCATCGGGATTTTCTGAAGTGCCCTGAAATATCGAAGAGCATAGGGCTTTTTATGCGCCACAACCCAGGAGAAAAAGAGTAAATCATAAATGGAATGGAAAATGACATACTGTAGTAAGTGCTTTAGGATGATTAAACTTGCACCTAGAACCATACTTGCAGCGTTGTGTCTTCACAAAATACTGTCCAGCAATTATAAATTAATAAGTCAAATCCTCAGGAAAACATTAGGAGTCAAAATAGCTAGGAAAGGGTTCAAGATCCACTTACAGGACAATCTGGTTCTCCTGGTCTCTCAGGGTACGATTCATTTGGCGCAAGTGGTGCCTGAACAAGAATCAATGTCAGGGTACCGCGATAACCCCAAAAGAAAGAGCTCTCTTATTTTCCTGATCCTAGACTGACTACAAAATGAGTAACATGACTCCTCACAGTCAAGGAACAATGAAGATCTTGACGAAGTGAAAGCCAGAGTAAGAAGCATGGTTGCCGAACTCGGGAAGCACAAATCTAGAATCACAGTTCCGTAAAATTATTTCTATGTAAATTCTTACTAATGTAATCAATACATTTTGTAACGGATACAAGTATAGCATGCATATTTTGTAAAAGCAACTTCATGTTAGACATGATAAATACTTAGATAGTAATAAACGATCACCTCTTTCCAATCTAGGATTCCCCCCTCAGGAACCCAAATAGGATGATCAAACTTGCAGCTATCCCCAAATTTACATGTTCTTGTTTGCATATAGTGGGTACAATCCTTCTCCCCCGGCCTCTGTGGATATATAGGCAAATGGCTTGTACTCTCCAACTTAGGGCGCTTGGTTAAATAGTCTGTAGTATACCAAGCTTCGGTTTGACCAATTGAGTTATGGGCACCCAAGACAGTTGGATAGTAGAGTGCTACAGTACATATAGACAATTGTATACAGCAAAATGAGAAGATATATACTGCTGTATGAGTATATCTTGAAAATAGATTTTGGAGTAATAACATTTAGGAGAGACTACAACGTAACAAACTCTAGAACCGGTCATATTTTTAGATAGATGTAAAGGTGTGAGATATTACAGGTTATATACAATCCTTACAGAAAGCCTTTAATTTAAAACCGTATAGTCACAACAATTAATCATCAAATACTTTTGCAGATCGCCAAATGTTCTGCTTTAAATTTGAAGACAACTTTAAGGAAATGATAAATATGCAGGCATTTTTTTTCCTTTATCAGGCGCTTCTTAAGCAACAACCGCAATAGGCGAAGAGAAGTAGAATAATCAAACCATTACGATATAAGGTAATTAGTTTATACTTGTACGTTAATCAGAACTTCTAAACATCTGGCCTTAGGAGTTCGATGCCAATTTCTAAGCTTTGCATCGCCCACATATAACAAAACAGTTCGGGCGGACAATGCAACCACCAACTGTGACTCAATTTCCAGAATCATATAATTCAGCTACCAAAAGCACAACAGAACATAAACCATAATGTTCATCCAAATGCAAATCAAGGTACTACTCTAAAGTGCATTCAAGATCTAAACTTGCCTATCCTGGAACCAAAGATAAGCCAGACACCATGATGAAACCGTTAAATTTGGCGATTTCAGTGATGCAATTGAGGAGACCACGAAGAAATTAATTCCTACGGCAAGTAAAACTTTCAAGTCGTCCAGCTAACTTTCCCAGAGATAAAGTAGAAACTGGTGCAGATGTCAGAAGGAAGAGAAAGGGAAGGAAACTCAGAGGCAAAGAGAAAAGGAACAAACCTTCAGAGGTGCGTTTGACGCCGGGAGGAAGGGGCTCGACGCCGGAAGCGGTGGGAACCTCGACGCCAGGAGGCCACTTGTCCTGATGTTGCAGCAGCTGCGAGTACCCCAAATGCGAGGCCGTCGTGTTCGCCAGGTGGTGATACATGGTGGACGCCGACAAAGAAGACGAAGCTAGGGAAGAGGGATACTTGCTTAAATACTCGGATCCGTCGCGACCCAAGTAGCGAAACGTCGAATGGGGGAGGTACGGCTCAGTGAGGGCGTCGGAGGCAGCGCCGTAGAGGGAGGAGAGGCTGCTCTGTGACGGCGGAGCTGGAGACACGGCGGAGGGGGCTGCGTAGGTGGTGTGATGGGCGTAGCTGTACAATTGATGGGCCATTCGATCTGGTAAACCCTAGGGTAAACTTCACAAATATACAGTCGCATCAATTTCTGATCAACCCCACTAAAATATTAGGATTTAGTTAAAGTCTGAGTTTACCCTCCAAGGAAAAAAGACATCAAAATCTTTAATGAATGAGTGTATCAAAATAACACATCTGCTAAAAATAATTCTATCATACATTTTGTTTATTTTTTAGATTAAACTTATTTTATTCAAAATGATCGAAGAAAATAAAATAGAAAAAAAAAAAGAGATCGATCGAAAATTATTTTAAAACTAACTTAAATAATTGAAATACACCGAAAACCACCGAAAAACTAAGATTTCAATTAAAATCTAAACCACCAAAAATTTAGACCGACAGAAATCGAAAATTGAAAAAACAAATATAATAAAATGTTCAATTGGTTGAATATTAGTTACAAAGTAGTTATATCGAAATAGTTAAATAGTTGTTAAAAGAAATCGTAAAACAAAATAAAACAACTTTTGGAAGAGACAAAAAAAACTATTATGCCAATTTGAAGAGAATAAAGCAGTTGATATAGCCACAATTTGACGAATTTCTTTTGTTCTCAATAACTTTTTGGAAGAGATAAAAAAACTACTATGCCAATATCGAATTTGTGATCAAAGATTTTTATGTTTTCGAAAATATTTATCGTTAAATCTCATCAAATTAACAATTTTTTTAAACTTTCATTTAAAATTAAAAAGTCGTAAAAATGAGTTAAGATAATCGTATCGTAGTCACATTAGAGTCATATACAATGCTGGATTTCGGTGGATCTCGTTCATGCAATTCATAATCCAAAGGGATCCGGTTCTAGGGTTTATATAGCAGAAGATAAAACAAAATTTTTTTAAAACAAGCAACCCTAGAAACCGAACATGCTTGTATATAGTTTCAAAGGAGAAACATTAACCTCACAAACGATCCAAAGCCTGTTCAAAGTTGAATCGCTTGATCACAAGAAGATGAAAAGAGTACCAACACCCTCTACACGTATCCACGCATCGGGATGGATTCCAACACTTAGAACTTGTCTATTAGGACTATAAATTTCTATGTGAGTTTTGGGACTCTTAGATCTGCTTTAAAAGCCTGAAGAGACGTACCTAAGCCCTAGGGTTCGAGCCCTATTTATTTATTTTCCGAAAACCCTAATCCAAAAAGAAAAAAGAAATTCTCGAGACCTAGACCGGTTGGTCTATACTTTGGACCGACCGGTCTAGTTGTCCCGCTAAATTGAACCGTTCGGACCACTATCTAGTCCGTCCGGTCCGCCAGACTTGGACCACAATTAGGGAGTCCGAGATCAAAATACTTGATATCAAACTCCAAGAAGGGGGAAATAAGCTGCGGGATAGGAAAAAAAGAAGAGAGAGAGATTAGTTCGGATAGTTGGAAACCACAAAAGATGCAACAATAGATCATCATCATAGAGGAAAGGGTTATGAATTTCAGAAATGAGAAGTGGTGGTACAAGGAAAAGAAGAAGCGTTTCAATATGGAATCTCAAGCACCAAGATGAATCGAGCAATCCGAAGAATGATTTGAACCGGAGGAGAAAAAGAGAACGAACTGTCCATCTCAACGATGGGATTGACCATCTTGATCTTCTCGAACACAATCCCCGACACCACTTCCTTTGATCACCCAGCTCATGTTTTAGAGGTTTCGTTTTTCTTCAACTGAAATGGTACTAGTAGGGGTGGCCAATTCGGGTTTCGGTCCGGGTTCGGTTCGGTTATATTCGGGTTCGGTTATTTCGGTTATAGAAAAACTATAACCATTCGGTTTTTATATAAATTCCGGTTCTGGTTCGGTTCGGTTTTGGTAAAAAGTTCAATTTTCCAAAGAAAATGTCGGTTATTCTCTCGGTTTTTTCGGTTATTTTTTATTCGGTTCGGTTCGGTTTCGGTTTTTCGGGTTTAAGTAAATCATAACCGTTCGGTTTTGATGTCAGGTTCGATTCGGGTACCACTACAAAAAAATGGTCATTTCCAACGGGTAAATCCGTTGGAATTTCGTCGTTAGAAATCGGTGTCCGTTAGAAAACCGTTGGAATTTTCAACGGAATTGCAACGAATTTTTCCGTTGGAAATTTCCAACGGATTTCCAACCGGCATCCATTGGAATTTTCCAACGGATTTCCAACCGCAATCCGTTGGACTTTTCCAACGGAATTTTCAACCGATATCCCGTTGGAATTTTCCAACGGAATTTTCAACCGCATTCCGTTGGAATTTTCCAACGAAAAATTTGAAACATATTCCCGACCCGACCCCGACCCCGACCCCGACACCAACCCGATCCGACCAAACCACGATCCCGAAACTTACTTTCCAGTAGGTCACCCATCCTTCCACTGCTCCAGCTCAATCCTCCTTAACCATAGAGTTCCAATTAGAACTCTTCCAACTCATCCAAGTTAAACTTCTGATATCATATAACATTAATATATATATATGTATATATATATATATATATTTGTTATGTATATGTATATGGTTAATATATATATATACACTTATTCGTATACATATATGTGTATATACACACACATCATATTTGTATATATAAAAATATATAAACACAAAATATATCTATATTTATACATATATATAGATGTATAAATATATAAAATATTTGTTTATACGTATATATACACCTCCTTAATATACATATATATACG